GGGGCCCAGCTCGTGCTGTGGCTCCCCATGCCCTTGCTCTTCTTGACGGCCCGCCCTCTGGACTTCAGGCTGATCAATAAGAGGTCCAAAAACAGTGAGCATGGAAAATAGGGTAGAAAGTGATCAAATGAATAGAAAGTAACTTTCTCAAGCTGAAGAACATAAATCCTCATGGTGAAATACTTATACTATGCCAAGGACCCTTGCTAATGGATAAGTATAGAAAAAGGGGGGAAAGGGGGGAAATGGGACAACTCAGAGAAGGGCAGTTCTCAAAGCGACAAACATCCAAAAGGATACACAAACTCAGCAGAGAAATGCAAATTAAACTAACTTGATACCTACCAACCTGGAAAAAATGAAGATTCCCGCCCCCCAACCCGTGGATGCCCGAAACCACGGCAAGTAAGGAACCCTATCTCTACCATGTCTTTTCCTATAGGTTCATACCTAGGATACAGTTTGATTTATGAATTAGGCACAGTAAGAGATCCACAGCAATCAACAACTGTAACAACATACTGTAATACAAGTTATGTGAATGTGGTCTCTCTCAAAATATCTCATCCTTCCGTACTCACCCTTCTTGGGATGACGTGAGATGATAAAATGCCTACGTGATGAGATGAAGCGGCGTGAGTGACCTGGGCGCCGGGACGTAGCTTTAGGCCACTACTGACCTTCTGACCTCCCGTCCCAAGAAGTACCATCTGCCTTCAGGGGGCGGTGACCTCGGGGACCCGGGGAAGGGAAAGCGCGGACAGCAGAACGGCGGGTAAGGGGGGGCCAGTGCGTCTGGAGCGCGTGTTGGCCGCGCTGCCGAGCAAAGGGAGCTCTCCTGCATCGTTGCTGGAACTGCGAATGGTTCCAGGCATTTGGGCATTTGGGAAAGCGATGTGACAACAGCTATTACGATGACAGATTTGAAGTTTTGACTCAGCGATTCCACTCCTGGGATTCTGCCCCACAGAAGTGAAAGCACCCAAGGCTCACATACAAGGATGTTTACAGCTTCCTTGCTGGCGACGGCAGAGGCCGGGGACGGGGAGGGGAGAGGCAGGATCACTCAGGGTGAGGCAGGGCGACACTTCATCATCGGGCTGGGGGCAGAGGACACCCGCCACCTGGCTGGGCAGCCCGTTCTGTGCCTCACAGCCTCCTTTTGGACACAGGCTTCTGTCTAGATGTCGGCACTGGAAATGCGAGCTGCTTTACCTTTACTGCTCTTCCCAGGCAGACGTTTGTTTTTAAATAGATTGCTCCTTTCAGAGCAAGGCTTGGATCTCACTGTTCGGTCATTTTATTCCAGAGTGGATACAATAGTTTACCTTAACTCACCCCGGGGACTGTGGGTGCTGAGCCCTCCTGGAGAACTGTCAGCTGAGCCACAATGCCCACCGACTGCACAGACCCTCTGCTTTGTAGGAAGACTGAGAAGTAAATAAAAATCCTGCTGGGAGCCAGCCTTTAGTCATCTGATCTCACCCAGACTCGTCACTCTATCACCCGAGTCAAAATAAAGCACTTCTAGTTCAACTCACTGCTCAGGAAGAGAGATGCTTATTTGATCCCAAAATGAAACCCGTGATTCCGCCAAGAGCCGACTCTGCTTTGGGAGTGTTTCCAGAATCCCTGTGCTTCATTCTACTTGGTATTAGGCAACCTGTCTCTCTCTCTCCTCCCTGGGAAGACAGCCTGGGATCCAGGCCCAAGTGTTCAAGATGTGGTCGTGTGCGGTTTTAAGGCAGAGTGACAGGACGGCAGAGTCACCCAGAGGAAAGGGACAGGCTAGCCTGGAGCCCGCTGTGGATTCTTCGGCCAGAAAGTCTCTCTGTGCACTGGCTGTGGCCTCCCCTCCCTACCCCCCCCAGGCCTCTGGTCCAAGCTGCCTAGGTATTGCCCACTGATAAAGCTCCTCTCCTAAGATCCCTCCAAAGGAAGGGAAACACGTGGAGGGAGGGGGCTCTTCATGGAGCACAGACCAAACCGCAGGCCCTGCAGAGCCGGGGTCTGCACACGCCCTTCTAGAAGGCTGATGGGAGAATCTGGACGCCCACGGGTCCTGTCTCTGGTTATGTGTTGTTCTCTGCAGCTGCACCTTCCTCTGATGAAGCACATTCCTTACCACTGCCATGTGAATTGTGCCATTCACCCCAATCCCTGGTGCAGGACGGTGGGGCGGTCAGGAAGGACACACCTTGCTGGGCAGGGCACAGGGTCTGCCGTCCTGACAGCGGTCCTGCTAGCAGGCCACGGCTTCTTGGGCTCCCACAGTGGTGTCGGTGACACACAGGGGCACCTGGGCACACAGCGGACAACCCTGCAGGTTTCTCCTCGCACGCCTGCTACCCACCGACGGTCTGAAGGCTGCTCTCATGAACCCTAACTTATACAGGGGCAGCCTGACGTACGGGAAGGTAAGTGACTTATCCCAGGTCACTGGGCCGGAAAGTGATAAAGACTGGAATTTAAATCCAAAGTTATCTGACTGGACAGCCTGACGGCTTTGCTTTATTCCCCTGGGCTGCTTTCCTGAACAAATGGGACTGGAGAACGACCAAGGACAAGCAACAGCTTTTAAGGACTTAAGGGCTGTGAGGAAGGGGGGACAAAAAAAGGAGAAGCAGCAGCGGCGGCAGCAAAAGGCGTTTCTTCTCAGAAGTCTGGGAGGAATATATGCTCTGGAACCAGAAGATGAATGTGTGAGTGGATAAATGAATGTATTCCCTCGATACAAACTGAGCCATCCTCTGCCGCTTCCTTGCCCGTTTTCTCTTCTCTCCTACCCCGTGATCCCCTCTGCCACCCCCGGGGGCTGCCACCACTCCCTTTCTGGGGCAGCATGGTGAGGGCACCCCAGGAGGGGCGAGAAGCCTGCACGTTGAATCCCAAGACAAGCGGCTCATACTCTCAGAGCTTCGGGTGCCTCCTCTAAGGGGGGTGAGAAGCACACCTCCAGAAGCTCTGGAAATCCACAGGACCTCTTTCTCCCTCCAGCCCTAGTCCTTGCATTTTAAAGTCAAGGCTTTTAAGGTTATTGCTTCTCTACTGGGATTTAAGAATGCCTCCTTAAAAATCAGAGGACAAGAATCTGACACCCTGTTCTTTAAGTGTCTGCCCTCTCTTCCCCGAATTCTGCTACCTGAGTGGTGGCCTGAGGGCCCTGCTATAAGGATGCATGCCAGAGATAACAATTCCTCGTCCCTCAAACCTTATACAGCCATCTGCAGCCACCATACACAGCCGCTATGGGATGTGCGCCGCCCCCACCAGGCAAGGGGATGTGGGCAGGACTGTAATACTAGCCGCGTGGTAGGCAAAACAAATGTTCAATAAATATTTGTGACGGATTGACTCCTTCTATTCCCATCTATGAAAGAGAATACTACTGTAAAAGATATCACTGTGGGAGTTCTCTCCCTACTCCTCACAAAGCATTTTACAGACATTCATTGTTGAAGGAACACCAGACTCACTCTGTAAACTGGGACAGGAATGGCCCAGAGAGTCCGTGCCTCGTGCCTCCCTACACACAGCAGTGAGTATGGACATGGGGGTGCAGAAAGAGAAAATGGACCATCTGGAACCACTGAGAGACAGGAGGAAAAGTTACAGCCCAAGTACCACAACCTTTCTTGAGTGCAGTTTTTGCATTTCATCTGGGGTATGAGTCATTTCCCACTTTCTTCCCCTCAGCCTCCCCAAAGTCCAAGTTAACCAAAAAGGATCTCCAGATGGCTCACCCACGATCAGGTCTCCTCTGATTGTTCCGGGAGGATTAATTAGTCACCACCATGAGTACCAAGACCAAATCAAGAGGCAATATGGCAGAAAGAGAGAGAGGGAGGGAGTACTCGCCTGCCAATGAGGGGACCGCAGAAGGGCATGTGGCAGACACAGATGGTGTGCCATTCAGGAACTCTTCTGAGAAATGCCAACGTAGGTTGGACCAGGTGTGCCGCATAGTCCAGCCTGATGATTCATGGTCCTGGCCGCACCAGAACCACCTGGGGAGCCTTAAACCTACTGATGCCCAGGCCCTGCCTGAGATGCCGATGTGAGTCATGCATCGGAGCCTGATTTCCACATTTCTTTTTTTAAAGCTCCCTGGATGATTTCAGTATGCACTTAGTGTTGAAGAATGCTGTTGTAGTGTCTATTTATTCAAGCTGCAGTCAAGATTGATGGCTTTTCCCCCAAGTATTTCTTATCTATCTGCCCAGTCCTGCATTAGACACGACAGAGAAACCAAAGAAAGGTGAAACTGGAAAGAACTTCGGTTTGGGAAATCAAATGGTTTGAGTCCAACTCTGCCACTTCCCAGCTGTGTGACTTTGGGGGAGTCACTTAAATTCCTTGGTTCTCAGTTTCCACACCCTGAAAGAGCTCGGGAAAGGGCCCAGAGAAACAAAAATGAGAAAACCTAAGGTTTACTCCTTCCTCAGCTCTTAAGCCACCTGAGTCCTCATCAAGAACAACGAACTATTTCCAGAATTTTCCTTCCTGTTGGAGCAGTGACATGCATTTCTAAAGCTTCTCCTAATATTTCAGTGATTTACTAGAATTTACGCCCGATAACTCCATGGCTCTGATTCGTCTTCCTCTGCTTCTTTGCATTGTTCTGATCCCCTCCTCATGGAATACCCCCCTCCCAACCACCACCCATCCCTGAAATTCCAAGGCAAGTTCCTCCTCCCCTTGAACCCCTGTTGGGGATTAATTCTGATCCCACGTACTACTCTCTCATCTTAGCAGCTCATTGTCCCCTCACTGCAACATGTGTTATTTTCTCCTCTACTTTGACTCCTTGAGGGGTCATAAAACAAGTGTTCTCACCCTTCTATTATGCTCTCTACTAATTACGGAGCACGTACAATGTGCTGGGCACTGGCTAGGTGCTTCACTTCTGTCGTTTCTAATCTTCAAAGCAACCTGTAACAGAAGCTGCCCACATTGCACAGAGGAAGAAACGGAGGCTCTGAAAGACAACGTAAGCTTACCTGAGGTCCTGGTGTAGAAGTCAGGGCTCAGCCCCGGATCTGTCTGGCTCCCCAGTCCATGCTCCTTCCATCACCTAACTCTGCCTCTGCAGCAGAACGTCTGTCAAATGATGGATTTAAATATCCATGAGGAAATATAAGTAATATATGTATAAACGACAACTTGAGGGAAAAGCAGGGAAATCTCTTTGGTATCTCCTCTGAACAAGAAATTGATACACTGACCCAGCCCCAGCTTGAACATCTGCTTGAGGTATTTGTCAATAAAGCTTGCAGATTATGTCCAAGCTGACATAGCCACTAAACTGACATAGCGATTACAAATTCCTTGAGGGGGTGGCATTACGAAGCAGAAAGAAAACAGGACTAAAATTAAGGGTCCTGGGTTCTAATCCCATCTACCTTTGCTATGAAATTGTTGTGTGACCTTAAATAAGTCATACAACCTCTCTGGGCTTCCATTTTTCTGAGGACAAAAGGAAGGGGTGAACTACATTAGCAGTTTCAGACCTGGGTTTGAGAGGCAGAGCCTTTGTGGTAGAGGTGTTTTGGTTGAAGAACAGGATGACAGGGAGACCCATTACCGTAGGGACCTCCACTTCTCCTTCCAGGAAATCCCAGAGGTAACCCCAGGGACCCGTTTGAAATCCACTGGGCTAGAAGATGTCCTAGAAAGGCCTATGATCCTATCTCTAACTTGCTTGGGACAACCCCTCCAAGCAGTATTTTCTGCACTTAGGTGCTTACTGAATACTTTCAGTTGCTCAGTGGGAACTGTTGCTGGATAATGTCCACCAGGCACATCCTCCTAAATGCACTGCTACTCCCTCCCCCCTGACTTCTCCTGGCATCCTGTCATTGATTAGTTCTACTTGGCAACTTTGTCTTAATTTCCAATCCTCTCTGCCAAGTGCTTCTTTTCAAAGCCAGGGATGAGCTGGCTTTGAGGGCAATGATGCATATGTCCACTGAGGATTCTAAAAAGGGACTTCCCGAAGTATGCATTTCTGTGATTTCCATGACCCTACTCTACCAGAAGCCCTTGGGCCACCTCACTCAGCCCTAAAATGGAAGAGTAATATTTACTCCATCAGTTAAGCCTGCTCCAGACCCCATTAAGGAGGAGGAGACAGGGTGTTTCCGCATCGATGAATCCTTTATTAAACTTTTTTATACCTCGCAAGCTGTTACAGGACCTAAATCAAAACCAGGAGGTTATGGCTACAGGGAGAAATAGAGTTGTCTCCAACTCTTTTGTGTCAGTTTGAGTCTTCTCAGAGGCAGATACCAAAATGGGATTAGGGGTGCCTGGGCAGCTGAGTCGGTTAAACGTCTGCCTTTGGCTCGGGTCATGATCTCAGGGATCATGAGATGTGGGATCAAGTCCCACATCAGGTTCCCTGCTCCACGGGGAGTCTGCTTCTCCCTCTGCCTCTCCCTGCTGCTCATGCTCGCTAATAAACAAAATCTTTCAAACAAACAAACAAAATGGGATTAGCTGCACCAGCAGTATGTTACAGGAAACACCTGTGAAGGATAAAGGGGAGAGATCAGGAGTAAGCCGGGAGGGGCTTCAGGCCACAGTGCAGGTCTACCACCTGAGAAAGCACAGTGGGAGGGAGGAACACTAGACACAACAGCCTCAGACTGCAGTGTAGTCTTGGCCGGGCAATGAGCAGCTCCCCAGCAAAGATGACCCACCGGGCAGCATGCCCAACTCCAGAATCTCTGTCATGCTGGTCGCTGGCTGGGAGCACCTGTCGAAGTGTAGTCTTGGAGTGAATGCCATGGTGGAGACAGAAGGGGACAGCTGGAGGCTGTCAGTGACCTAAGCACCCCGCAGTTCTCTTGAAAGCCAAAGAGAGAGGAGCACCCTTGGCTGCCACATCCACACTCTTGATTCAACTGATTTCACCCAAATGACCCCCCCAAATTACACAGCACCCTTGTCACACGTGATACTCTGTTGGAAAGTGGCCCATTTGCTGGCTCTGGGCATAGTCAGAGATGATTAGGTGGCAGCCTTTGAGGACCTGGAAGTGCCCAATTCTCTCAAAACATCCCCACCTTCACCCGATGTGCTCTTGGACATTTAAGCCACCATGTTGGGTGAAGGCCCTTTTGAAATGCAAGTGTAATGATAGGGTCTCTCACACTGAAGAGCACATTTCAGCTTAAATCCTTGGAAATTTCACTGGACCAGGACAGCAGCTCTGGAAGAAAACCTAGGAAGGTATCATTTCTCCCTCTTATGGATGGGAAAGCTGGGGCTCAGAAAGGCTGAAGTGACTAGCCCAAAGGCACAGGCTGAGTAAATGACAGAGGGCTGGAATAAAGGCAAAGTCCTGGCCTCCTTAACACACTCAACAAATGTTTACTGAGCACCTATTATGTTTCCAGCACTAAGAATACAGCTATGTCTTGTTGACAGACATCTCTGCCTTCGGGGAGCTTGCACTGTTGTTGGGAGAGAGAGGCAATATACATATAAATGGATTCATTTCCAACAGGTAAGGGATGAAGAAAATAGAGCAACAGGACTGAAGGGACTGAGAGAGGAGAGATGTGCCCCAGCAAGGGGCACTGGGGGAGGCTTCTCAGAGAGAAGAGTGCTGTCAATGGAGAGGACCAAGCCCTGTGGCAGGAACAGGCTGACCTGGGGGTGGTAAAGGGAAAGTGTGAAGACCTAGGGAACAGAGGCAGGAGATAGGCCAGAGAATTACAGCGGCTTCACAGGTCCTGGTGAGTTTGGTTTTTATTCTAGTTTCAATGGAAGCCAACCTATGAGAGATGCTAAAACAGAGGGTAAATCCTGTGAGCTGTCATATTTTCAATAAGTTTCTGCACTGGGGGTGAGGATCCATCATCTACGGTGCCTCCAGGTACAAAGATGATCACTAACTTGTTAGGAGGTGAATCACTTCACCCAGGGGATCTGTTCCTGGGGAGAAGGGAAGAAAGGAAGAGCAATACCACTATCCTTCCTCACTCTCCAACCTTGCCCTGCGTAGTGCTCAGGCTTTCTCTCAAAATCATGCTTCTTAACCTTGGCTCTCATGGGAATCATCTGGAGCGTTTAAAAACACACACACACAAACCCGTGTGTGTGTGTAATTATGTGTGTGTGTGTAATTTAATTTAGCCTACTCTTAGCAATTCTGATTTAACTGGTCTGGGTTGAGAGACTGAATATACAAATGGACAACAGTCCGACCTTATATGACAACAGAACTCTGACCCACACCATCTGCAGTAACCAGCCCAGGAAACCAAACCACAACCTTTGTAGCAATCAGCCCCAAACACTCAGAACTTAATCAATATCTGCCAGCTCTCTTAATTTTAGCCCCTCCTTCCGACTTAGAAGCAACCAGGGAAAGTCAAATATGCATCCCTAACCAATCACACTGGATGCCCCACTTCTAGTTAGCCTACTTCCAGCTTCCCCATTTCAAGAACCCCAATGAGGGCATACCTGAAAGGCTTCCTTTTTCTCCACTCCTCTGCCTGCCTTTGAGTCTCTACCAAATACAAGTGATGGTGGTGTTTGATTCTCTTATAGTGCAAGCTCTGAATAAATAGCCTTTGACCTTATTTGATTGCTCTTCACTTATTTGCACAAGATGCAGCTCAGGAATTGGTGTTTTAATTTAAAAGTTCTCCGAGTGGTTCTAATGTACAGCCAAGGTTGTGAACCATGGCTCTAAATAAGTGGTTCTTAAAAAAAAAAAAAAAAAGATTTATTTATTTGAGAGAGAGAGAGCATGTGAACAGGGGGGAGGAGTAGAGGAAGAGGGGGAGAGAGAATCCTCAAGCAAACTCCCTGGTGAGCACAGAGCTCAATGTAGGGCTTGATCCCAGGACCCTGAGATCATGACCTGAGCTGAAATCGAAAGTCAGACGCTCATCCGACTGAGCCACCCAGGCACCCCTCTATATAAAGTGGTTCTTAAAGTTTAGTCCTCAGACTAGCAAATCAGCATCACCTGATAACTTGTTACAAATGCAAATCCTATATGGCTTTTATTTTCAGGCAATTTCCTTCTATTCTCAGTTTGTTGGGAGTTTTTATCATGAAAGGACATTGAATTCAAATACTTTTTCTGCATCTATTGAGATGATCATATGATTTTTATCCTTCATTCTGTTAATGTGAAGTATATTAATTGATTTTCATATATTGAACCATCCTTGCATCCCAGGAATAAATCCCATTTAATCATGGTGCATGATCTTTTTAATGTGCTGTTAAATTCACTTTGCTGGTACTTTATTGAGGATTTTTGCATATGTATTCATCAGAGCTAATATCATACTCAATAGTGAAAAACAAAGTTTTTTCTCTAAAATCAGGAAACAAAGCAAAGATGCTTGCTGATTCTTGCTACTTCTATTCAATATAGTACTAGAATTTTTAGCCAGAGCAGTTTGGCAAGAAAAAGAAATAAAAGATATCCAAATACGAAAGGAAAATGTCTGTTCACAGATGACATATTATATAGAAAGCCCTAAAGACTACACACATACACTCATACATGTTAGAATTAATAAATGAATTCAGTAAAGTTGCAGGATGTAAAATCAACATACAAAAATCAGTTGCACTTCTGTACACTAATAATTATCTGAAAAGGAGATTAGTAAAACAATCCCATTTATGATAGCACTAAAAAGAATAAGATACTTAGGAATAAACTTCACTAAGGAGGTAAAAGACTTCTAGACTGAAAACTACAAAACATTGATGAAAGAAATTGAAGAAGACACAAATAAAAGAAAGACATCCTCTTTTCATGAACTGGAAGACTTAGTATTGTTAAAACTCCATACCATCCAAAACAATCTACAGATTCAATGCAATTCCTATCAAAATCCCAATGGCATTTTTTACAGAAATGAAAAAAATACTAAAACGCATATGGAGCCACAAAAGACCAAGAACAGCCAAAACCATCTCGAGCAAGAAGAACAAAGCTGAAAGTATCACACTTCCTGGTTTCAAAATATGTCACAATGCTACAGTAATCAAAAAAGTATGGACTGGCATAAAAACAAACATATAGATCAATGGAACAGAATAGAGAAGCCAGAAATCACACATATATAACACATATCCACACACATACAGTCAACTATCTTTGACAGGGTGCCAAGAATACACAATGGGGAAATGATAATTTCTTCAACAAAACCACCAGGGACATGCAAATAAACCCACAATGGGATATCAGCTCACACCTGTTAGGATTCCCAGTAGGAAAATAAATAAATACATAAATACATAAATAAAGAAAGGCGGCAACAAGTGTTGGCTGAAGATGTGAAGAAATTGGAACTCCTTACACTGCTGGCGGAATGCAAAATGGTGCAGCCACTATGGAAGACAGCATGGAGAGTCCTCAAAAAATTAAAAATAGGACTACCATATGACCCAGCAAGCCCACTTGAAGTATTTATCCAAAAGAACTGAAATTAGGATCTCAAAAAGATATTAATTCGTACTCCAATGTTCATTGCAGCACTATCCACAATAGCCAAGATGTGGAAATCATCTAAATGTCCACTGATGGATGAATGGATAAAGAATATGCAGCATATACGTATAATGAGATATCATTCAGGCTTAAAAAAAAAAAAGAAGGAAATCCTGCAATTTGTGACGACGTGGATGAACCTTGAGGACCTTATGCTAACTGAAATCAGCAGTCATAGAAAGACAAATATTGCATGACTGCACTTTTTTTTTTAAAGATTTTATTTATTTGAGAGAGAGAATGACATAGAGATAGCATGAGAGGGGGGAGGGTCAGAGAGAGAGGCAGACTACCTGCTGAGCAGGGAGCCCGACGTGGGACTCGATCCCGGGACTCCAGGATCATGACCTGAGCCGAAGGCAGTCGCTTAACCAACTGAGCCACCCAGGCGCCCGCATGACTGCACTTCTATGAGGCATATAAAATAGTCACATTCATAGAACCAGAGAGTAGAACTGTGGTCAGCAGGGGCAGGGAGGAAGGAGAAATGGGGAGTTGCTAATCAATGGGCATAAAGACTCCATACACAGGGGGAAGTTCCAGAGATCTCCTATACAACACAGTGCCTACAATTAACATATAATACTATATTGTACTATGATAATAATAAAATAATACTATATTGTACGCTTAAAAGTTTAAGAGGGTAGATCTCATGTTGTGTTCTTACAACAATAAAATAACTAGAAATTTAAAAATAAAATAAAAAAGAAATACAAATCCTTAGGCAGTATCGGACCTCCTGCATCAGACACTCTGGGGGTGAGGCCCAGCTGTTTTTAAAGCCTTCCAGATGATTCTGGTGCATGCTACAGGCTGCAAACCACTGCCCAAATAAAGTTTGAACAGATATTAAATAATATTGGTTTGAAGGGTCACCAAACCATTAGCTTCCTTAGGATGCTCGTGTGCCTTCATGTTGAAGGAATGTTCCCTTTACCCACGAGTAATAACTTACTGAGCACCTACTGTATGCTTGGTGCTATTCTAAGTGCCTCACATGCATTAAATTTCATAACACTCCTGTGAGGTAGAAACCATTATTATTCCTATTCCTAGCAGGATCCGAGCCCAGAGAGCCTGGCCTACAATGTCCCCTGTTCTGGCTCAAACTCTCAGGGAACATTTAGTTCACTGCCTGGCACAGTGTGTAATAAATTCTCATTAATTCAGAAAGTGAAATGTCAAGGATATGGGTCCTGAAAGAGAATTCTGATGGGGTGGCATGACCGGGGGGTGGGGAACTTCAGGGGTGGGCATGGGATGTAGTGGTAGGTGGGAAAGGAGAGAAGAGGAAGGGAAGGGGTAGCCAGGAGGCAATGTGGGCCAATCAGGTGCCTGGGAGAGGATACCGAAAGGAGGAAGAGAAACAGCAATGTCAAATGTCACTCCCTGCCAAGTTTTGGGGGTACCCAAGGTCAGCCATGGGGTCATGATATCCTTGGGCTGTGTCGAATTCCTGACCAGAAAGGAAGCAAGGTCAAGCCAGAGCCTCTGGGGTGCTTTGAGGGAAGTCCAGAATGAGGGGGTACAGGTTTAATTCCTCGAGGCCTTCTATCTCTCCCCTTCCGAAAAAGTCCCATATTGGGGCTACTTCTGAAGGCATCTCTACCCCAATCCATGTACCATGTCTATGCAGGGAATGCATAATTGAGATAACTAGCCAAGAACTTTGAGCCACAGACCTTCCTTTTACCAACATATTCAAGAAATTGTACAAATTGAGCTACAGACAATAGAATTGAAGAAATGAGGAAGACTGTGCCCTGCCCACAGGGAGCTCACAGTCTCATGGGGAGCCAGACACGTAAACAAACACGAAGTCAAGAGGGCAAGTTCCAGAATGGGGCATGCACGGAGCCTTGAGACCACAGGAAGGACTAACAAAAAGCTTCAGAAGAGAAGTAACGTATGAACACAGACTTAAAGGGCAAGTAAGAGTGTCAGAGACCAACAAGCTATGGAAGGGGATTGCAGGCAGAAGGAACAGCATGACCTAAGGCACAGAGTGATGAGAGTGGGGCAAACGGTAAAGAAACGAGTGCTTTCTTGGCTGATGCAAAAGCTGAATGCACAAAAAGAAGAGAGGGAAGGTGGGAGAGCTGGTAGGAGAGATGGGGAGAAAGGATGGGGTCAGATTAGCTGGGTCTTGGATAGCATATAAAGACCCACTGAAGTTGGCTTAAGCTACAGAGAAAAATGTACCATAAAGCAACAGGAAATCTCTCAGAACCCAAAGGCAGGGACACACTGGGGGGTGCCAGGAAGAACAAAAACTTGAAGTAGAAGGTCAGGATGAGTCAGCCAGGGTTCACTCTCCATCTTTTCCTCGGCTTCTCTCTGCAGACAGGAATTGGTGTCCTTCCCTCTCCCTCCAGACACCATCCAGTACAGATCACAGAATACCTGTCCTGCTCAGTGCTCTGTAGAGTGTATGTGCTACAGACTCAGGCCCAGAGGAAGTGTCCCGATTCCAGTTCTTGGGGAGAGAACTCTTGACTGGTACAGCTCCAGTCATGGGACCTCCCCTGGTCCAATCTACTAGCGCTAAGGGGTGAGGTCACGTTTTGCAAATTTGTACCTGGTAGCCCAACTCATGGAGGAGGGGACAGTGCCCAGAGAAAGGGGAATCTGTGGCTCATTTCTGGGTGACTATCCCAGAAATTCTAGACCACGGCCTTGTAAGCCACAACAAGGAGTTCAGGCTTTATCCTGTAGGCAACCGGAGGGATTAAAAGGAATGATAAGACCGAACCTGTCTTTAGCAGTGTTGCAGACGGCATGAAGGATGCATCACAGTGGGAGAGACCGAAGGCTAGGAGTCCACTGGGGAAGTGTTGAGATATCCAGGCCACGAAAGGATGAGACCCAGAGCAGCGCAAATGTGGTAAGCATGGAGAGGCCTTTTGAGGACTGAAATATGAAGACTTGGAGGATGCCTGGCTGGCTCGGTCAGTAGAGGATCCAACTCTCAATCTCAGGGTCATGAGTTCAAGTCCCACATTGGGTGTGGAGCCTACTTAAAAAAAAAATAAATAAAGGGAACAAAGAAAGAAAGACATCTGAGGACTTGGTAACTGCTTGAAAATGGAGGCTGATGGTGAAGGAGCCAAGAGACTCCCTGGTTTCCTGCCTGCTGGGACAGGCAGGACAGTGATGATGCTAAGTGGGACAGGGGCTGCAGAAGAGGAAGAACCGGGGAGGGGCACATCGAATATGGAGTGTGAGGACGTGAGGCTAAGGTGAGAGCACACTGAATCTGAGAAGTGATGAAGAAATCGATGGTTCTCACTTCTCTTCCTCCCCCAGATCCCTTGAAATAAGCTACATCGCTAACATAGGAAAACTGGGTGGCATCATAAACTGATTCTCATCTCAGTTGGTAATTGTGAAATCAGGAGGAAGCTGGGTCTAAAAGACAGAGTGTGGGCTTTGGAGTCAGTCAATGTGTGTGCCAGTCAGCTGTGTGACCTTAAGAAAATGACTCAACCTCTCTGATTCTCAATTTTCTCATATGTGAAATGGTATATCCAGCTGACCTTACAGAATTATTGTGAAGAATAAGTGTGATAATATCTGTAGAGTTCTTACAATATAGATGGTCCTCAGGAAGTAGGTCATTAGGATCATACTGTTTTTCTCCTTCACATGAGCTGGGACTTTGCCCTGTGCTGGGCAGAAATGCTATACCCACAGCCTCGGGACTGAAGCTGGGTTTCCCTGAAAAACAAGCCCATCCACTCCCTGCCGTAAATGCCCCCTGAAATCAAATTAATCAAACCTACTTACTATTTAACTGAACTCTTCTCTATATAGCTATGGAATCCTAAATGGATTCAAAATTTGGGTTTGTACTAGCAATCAACTGACTGAAGGAACTGATGAATTCGACTATGTAGATCAAACTGATGCTGACCACAATAATAATAACCATCTATGTTGGCTGCTCACTGCACGCTGAGCACTGTTCTGGGGCTTTACAGAGTATAAACTCATTAAATCCTCACAAACAACTCCATGCAGTCAGTACTATCATCATCATCCCCATTTTGCAGATGAGGAAACTGAGTTCACAGGCCACAAATTCTGCATAATTCACACTGTTGTCTTTCACCGTTCTTCCAGAGTACATCTTGCTGTTCAAGTGAGCCTTGCTTCCCAAGCCTGTCTCAGCCCAGTGCGAGGTATGTTGAGCATAACTTTTTTGGGATTGAGTCCCTCTTTAAAACAAATGAGAGCAGTTAGATCCTTCACCGGCCCTCATGTGCATTCGAATATTCTCTTAGGAGGAGGAAAGTGAGTCCTACTTAGGGAGCAGAGGTGGTTATGGCATTTTTGAGCCATCCCGGTGCCCTACTTCCTGTCACACTTTGGGGTGGAGGCTTGTCTCAGGCGACCCAGTCTCAGAACTATGTAACTCGATCAAGATTCTTAACCTTGAGGGGTCAAGGGCCCCCTTGAGAATCCAGGGAAAGCTGCGGTCTCTGTCCTCATTAAAATGCACATTAAAATGCAGGACTTTACATAAAATCGCATGTAGTTTGGGAAGGGCATAGATCCCCTGAAGCCCCTCCCTGAGCCCCAAGTTAAGAAGTTCTGACACAGAAGATAGACCAACCAGGTACTTTAATCATCCCTCCAAATTCAGTCTCAGCCTATTAATTTGTAATGTAACTCCCTGGAAATCTCTCTGTAATACTGAAATTCATATGCTGATTGTGCTCTGCCCTTGAGACACTTAGGAAGTTAGCTGCAGAGAGCGCTTTGGACGGGCAGGCACCATTTCTCACCCGACATGGCATTATATCAGGAGTTATGCCCTGCCTTGCCAGCCTGGGGTACAGACTAATGTATCTCTGAAAATTCAAGTTCGATGACTCTAAGCCCTCCTCTTGATTATAATGGAAACTCCTTCTTATTAAAAGATTGTCCTACCCAAAATAATTTCTGAAACCCCTGAGAAATGGTTACACAGTCTACAGTCAATCCTTCGAACTGCTTCTGAAGCCTACCCCACCACCTTCTGGGACAGCGGTTGTGCTGGTCAATATATGAAATGCTCCATGCACCTGAGTAAGTCCGCAGTTCAATAAGGAGTTCTCTTCAAACTCCTTAATTTGAAGAGTCACTGATATTATCCCACCCTGTGGGCATGGCAGCAGCGATGGATGGGGATCTTAATCTTGTTTCCACTGACTAGTTCTTCCAGCTAACTCATTGCTTCACGTATTACTCAAGTGGTAGATAGTAAAGACATTCCATTGAATCAGGATCTATGGAATGGAGCTGCTCATAAGCTCACTATTCAGGAACAGAAGTATATAAATACAACATATTTACTTATGCATTGAACCATTCAAGTGATAAATGATCTGTAATGATTTCAAGTCAGCACACATTACATACATTTCCTCCAGCTCTTACCAGCAGGACAACTGCAGTCCACAGATTAAGTAGGCAGGAGTCAGGGGTCAGGATGGGAAGGGCTTGGTCCAAAGACATCTCTCTTCTATGCTTCCCCAGGGCCTGAGTTTAATAATTGCAGTACACTCGTACCCTAGGGGAGGGTACCTACCTAGCTGGCTAATCGTTTCATTCTCTCTTGTGAATGTGTTTGACTAGACAGCTATACCTCCAGGGGCTCACAGGTCATCCACAGCTGAGAGACTAGAAAGATTAATTGGAGGATTGAAAGGAAGACCTAAGCAAAGCTGGAAAACCATAGCAGGATGTTCAGGGCAGCCAGAGAGCAGTGAGTATCTGGGGGCTGAGGTTCCCATCACATCAGATGGGAATGATGGAGAAAGGAGAGAGACAGAATATCGAAGACAAACTTCACCTCATTCATAATTAGGCCCAAGGCCAGTACTTCTCTTTCCAGACTCACCCAAGAAGTGCCTAAACTAATAAATGCCTATTTCTACAAGGGTCAGGTGAAACTTCTTTCCCCAGAGCTTGATGTCGTTTAGGTCCTGCCTGACTTCTTCACATTGGACCTGTGATAAATGCTCATTTGCAAAGTCATTCTACAATCCCTTGCAAAACAAACCACCCAAACATAGTGGTTAAAACAACAACCATAGCTATCTTGAGTAACTTTCAAGCCAAGTATTTGAACCATCTATCCTGAAGCTAGAGACAAAAATTATCTGTAAGGCACCTGGGTGGCTCAGTTGGTTAAGCGACTGCCTTCGGCTCAGGTCATGATCCTGGAGTCCCGGGATCGAGTCCCGCATCAGGCTCCCTGCTCGGCAGGGAGTCTGCTTCTCCCTCTGACCCTCCTCCCTCTCATGCTCTCTGTCTCTCATTCTCTCTGTCTCAAATAAATAAATAAAATCTTTAAAAAAAAAATTATCTGTAAACATTGAACTCAAGTCAGTAGTTTCATTTTGCTTTTTTTTCCTGCAGAGGTATGGGTTAACTATTTTGAAACTACTCTCTGTATATTCTAGGATTAAGAAAACAAAACAATATATCATGGATGATAGTAGCCAGGTTTTTTACTGTTGGAAAAGGAAGTCATAAACATGGAAAGGGAGCGAGTTAAAATGAAGCTCTGTGACGTTAGGTTGGAATTAGAGATATCAGTATAAACTTATGGTTTGAACTAATGGTTTTTAATGCAGACAGATAGATATAAAACAAAGTGTGGGTGTATGTGTATGTGTGTGTGTGTACGTGTGTATACAGAGATACTTCCTAGGTCTGCCCAGTAAGAAAGCTAAAAAGCATTGACACTCCAGTGGCAATGGGCTTCCCTGGCACCCAGGTCTTGGTATCTAAATACCTTCCCCACTAAAAAGAAAGAGGGCACCTTAGGACAATGGTTGTTGCCAAGGCTGGGGCAGGGCAGTAAAACATAAGAGGCCCCAAAGACCAAACCTGGGACAATTTAAGCGTCAGAATAATTCATAATAGTAATAGATTATTGATTCAAATAAGAATGAGTTAGTTAAAACTGATTTAAATAAGTAAGCAGGGGAAAAGGAAAGCTCTTTCTTTTTTTTTTTTTTTTAAAGATTTTATTTATTTATTTGAGACAGAATGAGAGAGAGAGAGCACATGAGAGGGGGGAGGGTCAGAGGGAGAAGCAGACTCCCCGCCGAGCAGGGAGCCCGATGCGGGACTCGATCCAGGGACTCCAGGATCATGACCTGAGCCGAAGGCAGTCGCTTAACCAACTGAGCCACCCAGGCGCCCAGGAAAGCTCTTTCTTACAGTAGAATACTAATAAATGCAGAAGGAAGGATGAAAATTAGAAAGTCAACATTTGGCGATCATCATGGTAATAATTGGTTCATCAACTGAATCATCAAATCATCCATGACTCCTAAAGCTAGTGGATCAAAGTGTCACGAGAAACAGGATGTTCACAGGGTCTCAACATATCTAACTCTGGGGGATACTTATTGAGAAAGAAAACTACAGTAACTTTATATGGACAAAACCGTCAGACACCATCATAATCCCGCTCAAATTTAACATCACCTGATCCGTTCTCTCATATTTCTGCCAGAAATGTATAGCCTGAAGGTAATGAGAAAACACCACAGAAACCCAAACTGAGAGACACTCTACAAACTCCCGCCCTTCTCTGCCTCCTAGACCATCCACACCCAAGGACTGGGCAATAAGAACGCGTGCTCGGAATAAACAGCCTTGGGCACCGTCCCATACCGTTGTCTGTAATAAACTTGCGGATTCATTTCGTCAGCCAGGGGGGACTCGGAGCTTGCCAGGTGCCGGGCCTCATGAGAGGCCCTGGGGTTACCACACCGAGCAAAACCCGACTCGGGCCTTGCGTCCCGGGCTGCTAAGGACAAGTCAGCCGTCAGTGGTGGCGTTACTGTCTGCCTAGTCCCTGTACTAAGGCAGGGAACGTACACATTTCCTGGAGCACTTTTTGCTGAAAGAGTTCAATTCCTTTTTAAATCTCACTTACCCCGAAAAGCCAAGTACTCGGAAGATCTCTGCTCCCAGCCTGCCCCCACCTGGCCCCAGCCGCCAGCGCCGAGCGCGCCGGGCAGCGCTGCCGCACCGGGGGGGCGGGAGGGGGGGCGGGGGGGGGGCGGGGGGCGGGGGGGGCGGGGGGCGTGTCTGCCCCGCCTCTCCGCCTCACTCTGATTGGCTAACGGTCCCTCCCCTTCTTAGTATTGCTTTCACCTGTTGGGTTGGTTTGGCTCCCAGCCCTCTTCCTGCCTCTGGTCACAAAAAGATAATTAACAGAGATTAAGAGAAAATAAGTGGTTGGCTAATGATTAAGTAGCCTTTCCCAAGAGCACTGAAGACAAAAAATTGTACACAGCTCTCTCCCCATTAGGTCACGCAGGCCTGTAAACTAGTGAGGGGTTTTAAATCTCTCCAAAGGGAGCAAGAGTGGAAAATGTACAATTTAAACCGAAACAACTCCTCTTGCGCCCTAAGAGCGTGATGGGGTTGGAATGTGCCTTCATTCCCACTGACATCCTTCCTAGGGAAAATCGAAGCGAGAGCAGAGGCACTGAACACACGGCCAAGGCTTTTATGAGTGTCTCTGGCCTTACATATTAGACAACAGTGCTCTGTTTGGGTTATTGTTGTCCTGGGGGTTACAGCTGGAAGGGGATGAAAACATAGGGAAGCAAAGCAAACACTGGAATACACTCTGTGAGTTGTTTGAAATCCTTATGTCTATTCATTTCACACAAAAAGAATTTTTGTGTTTTTAAATTTAACGCTGAAGAGTCTCGACTCCTTAAAAAACAAACATGAGCTGTGGTCTGAACGTTTGTGTCACTGCGAAATTCCTGTGTTGAAATTCTAACCCCCAAGGTGATGGTATTCAGAGGTGGAGCCACAGGAAGTAACTGGTTGGAGAGGGTGGAGCCCCCATGCGCGGGATCAGGGTCCTTATGAAAGAGAGCAGAGAGCTTGCTTGCTCCTTCCGCCTTGAGAAGCCGTGGTGAGAAGACCACCATCAGAACACCACCGAGGAAACCAACCCTCAACAGACACCAAATCTGTTGGTGCCTTGATCTCGGACTTCCAGCTTCCAGAACAGTGAGAAATAAATTTCCGTTGCTTGTTGGCCCCCTAGTCCATGGCATTTTGTTACAGCATCCCGAATGGACCAAGACAACCCGGAAACTCCAAAATGTGCAGTAACTGTGAGGACTCACCAGTTAAAGTTGTCTCCCTAAGGCTGGAGGGCAGGAGTTAGTTGCTGAGTGTTGAGTGGTGCTAACCAGCCTCCTAGCAGTCCCCTCTCAGTGTGGCTGTGTGGGTCCCAATGATGACTTGATTTCAGTCGATCCTCATGAGCATCACCCTCTGGAGGAATGAAGTGACGTCACCGCTGCTCCCCAGTATGTCTTTCTGTCAGGGAGGATTGTGCTTCGTTGTCCCCTTGAAATAAGGTTTGGCCACTTAACTTGCTTTGGCCAATGAAATGTGAGTGAAAGGGACACATTTCGCTTTTGCATGGGAGCATGCAAACTGTCTTCTCTTCCAACAGTGATCTTGGAAGCGCGTGTTGATACAGAGGTGCCTTAAGACCAAAGCGCCCTGGAAAAATGAACGACCCCATGGAGAACAGCTGCCCTGGAAGATGACTATACCCACAATAGACTTTTTTGCATGAGTAAGAAATAAACTTCAGTGGTATTAAGCAACTGAGATTTGGGGGGCCTTATTACTGCAACATAAAATAAACTTGGATCACTATGACATAAAATAAACTTGGATCACTATGACATGGTGGAAATGACCCAAATGCCAGTTCTTGTGACAGCCCTTGGATGCTCTGGCCTTTTCCACCTCCTGTCTCTTGGAAGCTAGCCGCCATGTAAGAAATGCAGCCTCCCCCGAGACCACCATGCTATGGGAATGTCAGCCACGTGCACAGGCCCTGGAGGACAAGATACTGCCTGAGAAGAGAGGGGCCACGAAGCACTAGATGTGCCAGACATTCACGCAAAAGGCCCTTTTGGTAGTGGGTCCCCCAGTTGCTCCAGATGACACTGTGTAGAGCAGAGATAAACCATTCAGCCAAGCCCTCCACAGATTCCTCACCTTCAAAATCAGGAGCAAAATAAATGGTTGTTCTAAACCATTCAATGTCAGGACATTTTGTTTCCTAGCTGTACGCCACCAAAATACTGAATAATAAATATTTCACAGTGACCAACAGCTCTTCTGTGAATTGCCCTGTATTTAGCATCTAAGTCATGCTGCAGGCTTCTATAGGCTATGAGTTCCAAATCAGATCAGCATCGATGTCAAAGTACAGTAGCTCGGAGCCCCCAGCCCCTTGACTGCAGCCCTATAGACCCTGCCATCATCCTTTCTCTGCTCTGTTCTCCCAGTTACTTCAAGGAGCCCCTCTGTGCCCTCAAACCAGTGTGTATTAGTCGCCATGGGGTACTCAGTGTTACTTCTCCTCTGCTCCAAATACCACGCACTCCTGTCTACTGCCCAACATGCCACCAAAAACTGTCTCACCACCGCTGCTGCCCACTGGTCTTGTCACAGGTGCTGTCCCTGGGTGTCATCTCTCCAGTGGCCGCTACACAATGCACAGCCCCCCACCCGCTCCTCTCCTCTACCACGCACAAAACCAGCAGCTCTGGGGCAGCTAGTGGGTGCAAAGGAGCCATCGGAAGGAATGCTGTGATCCTTCTCCCAGCTGCCTCGCCAAGAGGCCCTGTTTGAACAATTCACAAGCATCTTGAAAAAAAAATAAGCAACAAACAAACGAAACCTCTATGTGTTGCTACACACAAACCCTTTTTAAGCATGGTGGACAACTAAAAGAATTCTTAAATACACCTTTCACCTTTAGCATCTCAGCCTGTGCTGGACAGCAAGACAGAGATGCAGGAAACTGTAAAATCTGGAAGGTATCCACGCCCGATGACAGGAAGCAGCCTCGGAGAAAAGAGGAGAAAAAGAAAATGAACACCGAAGGCAGAGGGGCAGGGAGAAGGAGTGAATGGGGAAGGCATCCAGCCTGGAGCAGGATTCTCCAGCACTCAGGGGCAAGGCTGTAAGTGCCCGCTAAATAATGAATGGAACCAGTCAGCTCCCCAGGGAATCCCTGGAGCCTCTATTTCTGAGATTGTTGAATTATTGATGGAAAATATGTGATGTTCTGGCCCGAGCTGACAGCTGGAAGACAAGCCGCTGCAATTTAAATTGATTCTGCCCCCAATAAAATGGAGGCCACTGTCTGATTTTCAGAGCTGCTCAAGGTCCCCATGGGCAGAGCGGGTGAGGGGGTCCAGGTTTTCCAAGGGTCCATGACTCTCCCTCAGGTCTGGAAGCAGCAGGAGACCTTGGCCAGAATGATGGGCTTACCCAGTGCTGTTTCTCACTTATGTGTGAGTCCCTGGGGACCCCCGATACTTCCTTCACGTCTCTGAGCACTTCTCAACAGCTCCATGCCCTGCTCAGATCTGCTCCATCTGGCTGACTTCCGGTTGCAGCTGGGGCTTGGGTAACAAAGCACCCCAACCTCGTTGGCTCCAACAACAGAGCTCTACTGTCTCAATTCGGGAGGCTGGAAATCTGAGACTGAGGTGTTAGTAGGGCTGGTTCCCTCTGAGGGAGGCTCTGTTCCAGGCCTTTCTCCTTGACACTAACGGTTTGTTGGCAATCTTTGGTATTTCTTTTTTTTTTTTTAAAGATTTTATTTATTTATTTGACAGAGAGAGAGACAGCGAGAGAGGGAACACAAGCAGGGGGAGTGGGAGAGGGAGAAGCAGGCTTCCCGCGGAGCAGGGAGCCCGATGCGGGGCTCGATCCCAGGACCCTGGGACCATGACCTGAGCCGAAGGCGGACGCTTAACCGACTGAGCCACCCAGGCGCCCCAATCTTTGGTATTTCTTGACATGTACATGTATCGTCCCAATCTGCATCTTCATCTTCACATGGCACTCTCCCTGAGTGTGGGTCTATCTCCATGTCCAAATTGCCCCTTCTCGTAAGAACACGGTCATGTTGGACTAGGGCCCACTCCAGTGACCTCATCTTAACTTGGTCAAGTGTTTGATGATCCTGTTTTCAAATAATTATCCAAATAAGAGTCCAGAAGATTCTATTCATTTTGCAATTGATATCAAATCAACACATTGTACACCTTAACTTTACACAATGTTGTATGTCAATTATATCTCAATAAAGCTGGGGGAGAAGAGGAAGAAAAAAAAAAGACCCTATCACAAAATAAGGTCACATTTGCAGGTACTGGGGGTTAGGACTTCAACATCTTTTGTGGGGGACACAATTCAGTCTATAACCAAGCCCTTTATACCAGACCAGGCTTCCTTTTCTCTGCACTGCCTCCTGGCCTCCACCGATGTAGAAGACTCTGCGTTCTACCTATCTCTGGAACTTTCTTCCCTCGCCTATAAAACACATGCCCTGAACTAGGGATCTCTAAGCTCTTCAGCACTAAGAATCAGGACAGGCAGGCAGAAATCAGGCAGGAAGTATGTGCTATGTAGGATGATATCTATTTTCCCATGAGACAGGTTCTTGGGTATAAACTTAGGGTCCAGCACACTGCCTGGAGTATGAAAGGTGCTCAACAGGTATTTGCCAGCTAAATAGAAGGATCAATGAATTACTGAATGTCATGGAAATGCAATGTTTTCATAAGTTCCATTGTCTTTACCTGATCTGAGACAAGCTTAAGGAATAGGATTTCCTACAGGCTAGTTGACTAGCCTGTCACAGCTGTAGCACTGGGGGGCCTGAGAGCAGGGACCCCGGCAAGGAGACCGAGGCTGAAGGCTCTTCTCAAACAAGCTTTGTCTTCCTGCTTCTCAGAAACTCTTTTCCAGCTACTGCTCACTTGTTCTCGCGTGGACACACCCACTCTCTCTGGCATTGACTCAGCACGGGAAACTCTAGCATGTAGCCATGGCCCCATCCCAGGAAGATCTCCCAATAAAGGGGAAAAACATGGGAAGTGAGGAAAACGCCGGGGCATGGCGTCACTGCGCCTGTTTGCAGGGGGCAGAATTCAAAAGAATGAAAAAAAAAATCCCTCAGTGATGAAAAAAAAAAGTGA